GCCGCAGCCGGGGTGCCAGCTGGGGCTGCCAGGCAGGGCCACCACGTCCTCACGGTGAGCGCGCCCAGGGAATGGCCGATGGAGGCAATAAAGGCGTTCACAAGACACGGTTTACGTCGCGAGATACAAAGGCAGGTGTTTGTCCTGGGGACACCCAGCTGTTTTCTGCAGCCCCCAGCAGATCCTCCCTCTTGGCGATGGGACCTTCCAGAAAGCTGGTCCACTGGATCACCCAGCGTCTCTCAGCAAAGCACCGTAACTCACTGGGGCTGGGCCACCAGCCACCACCATTCCGTGGGGCTGGAGGACGTGACCCAACCCAGGCAAAGGGGGCTCGGCACAGAGCGGATTTCACCTCCGGAGTGCGTGGTATTTGTACCTTTTGCACTTCACAGACCAATACCCGAGGCCAGGACTGAGGAAGAAAGAGTGAGAGAAAGGAGGAGAAGAGAGGAGAGAAGACAGAGGAGAGGAGAAGGGGGAGGGGAGGGGAGGCAGGGAAAGGAAGGGAAGGGGGAAAAGAAGAGAGAGAAAGAGACAAAAGAGTGAAAAGACAGAGAAAAGGAAGGAAGGCAGGAGGGAGGGAGGCGGGAAGGAAGGGAGGGAGGGAGTGAAAGAGAGAAAGAAAGAAAAGAGACAAACCATACTTAGTGCATTTATTCATTTAAAATGAGTATTTTTACTTGATTGGGTGGAGACAGGGAGAGAGAGAGAGAAAGAGAGACTTATAAACCTGCCGGAAGGTGCTACGTGTGTGTGTTTGCAGATTTCATCCACAGCCTAGCTCTTGGAGAACTTACAAAGTCCTTCATTTTACTTATAGAATATCTGAGCCTCTCGGGAGTAGCATAGTATACATCATCTATATGCAAGGGCTGTACAGCTTTCGTGTGGGTTATCATGCATGATTGATAACTACCATGGCTATGCGAGTGCAGAGACAGACTGATGCTCCCATCCGCCTTAACCGCAGGACCCTGCTCCACGGGGCTGGTGGAGATGACCTGTGCTGGCCCCATCGTTGCTGCTCAGGCTGCCCGGGAGCAGCCGTCCCTCGGGCAGCTCCTCTGCACGGGGCTGCGCTCCTCCGACTGTTAGCCAGCATCCGCTCCGCTTGCTGGGGAGCGGGAGGCAATCGGGCCGGCACCTACGTAGGTTTTCCCCAGAAAAAAACTCTGAACAACAGCAAAGAAAATCTTGCTTGGTCCTGAATCTAAAACCATTGAACCGGATCCTGTGCGTCCCACAGGCGCAGTAAGATTTAGCACTAGGGAAAGCCAGGCTTTTTCTCAGGGTTTAGGTGCCCTACCCCAGCATAATCTCCCAGGTGGGCCAGATACAAGGTTTAGCCTTGTATGGAGCTAACTCCTAGAATAAATGTGGTGAGCTCATTTTAGTCTATACCAGTTATTTGCTGGTATCCCAAGCCCCAGAATTTGGCGGACACAGCAGCCAAGCAGAGGGCCGCCGCTGTCACTTGACGTTTGAGCTGCATTTGAAGAAATTGCTGTGAAATTAAAGCAGCCCGGAGCAGTCTGCATTGCTAACTGACCATGGTTCGCTGATAGCTACCAAGCCTTGGTTTCCTACAAGTCCTCACTCAGTTCTCTATACGATGACATTTTTGTCCCAAGCTGTAGCGTTATACGCTTCAGTTTTTGCCTTTTGCTATATTCAGTACAGAGATGGTCAAAACCATTTTCTTCTAAGTTTTGCAGAAAATGTCAACATTTGAATACTGGGTTTGTTTCAAAATGTTTGAAACAGACAGTTTTTATTAGAAATATATGCGTTTTTTTCTGAAAGCAGTATTAAATGAGTGGTTACCTATATGCTATGCATCAGAAGCACAATTTTGCTAGAAAATACACATTTAATAGCATTTTGATTACTTTGAAAAAACGGGAAAAGGCACATTTTTTCCCCAATATTAGCTTTTTTAAAGCCTTTTTTTTCCATGGGGAAAAATGTTATGTTAAAAAATGAGGATCAGCTCTAACTTTGCACTAAGCAGTCACAGCACATAAGTTTTGATCCCCCTTGGGGTTTTAAGTCTCTCACCCGCTTTTCTATATTTACATTTAATGCTATAGAGCTAAGTGCATTCCTCTGCCTGCCCTCACTCTGTAGCCCCTGTGAGACAAGACTGAATTCACAACCCTTGGATGGTGGTGTCTCTTCTACATCACAGAACATTTCTGCTCAGCAGCCTGTTTCATTTCGGTGAAGGTGGCTTGAGCCTTTTCTTTGATCGCATCCATGTCCATATTCTGGATGTTCTGCAGCTGTCCCAGGATAGAGTCCTTGTCCTCTTCCTCCACCTGATCTTCTGCCACCATCTTCTGAAGGTCTTCTGGCAAACCCACGTCATCTCCAGCCATATGTATTTGATTCTCATCCAATTCACTCTGACACAAAAAGCAGAAAATAAAAACAGTACATGAGAGTATTTCTGCTACCCCAGGATCTACCGATGAGTCTCTGTTTGTTTGTTTTAGGGAGAACGGAAACATATACACAGATTTTTCAGTCAAAGTTTTTAGATGCAACCTGTGAATTCAGGGGCTCAGTCAGCCCCCATACAAGTGCTAAGATTTTTCAGACAGTGTCAACTGTATTTCTTTGAAGGGTTTCAGTAATGTCAAAACCGAAGCCCTCAGTGTCACTTGCCGCTTAGAAATCTGTGCCATATGTGTTAACTGCGGTAACATGCTGATGCTGCAGGAAATCCTCCACAAGTTATTTGTATCCACCAAAGACACGCTGCAATACACTGCCCAGGCTGTCATCTGTTGTGCAATTTGGTCGACGAAGCAATAGCTTTAGGAAAATTGTGTGGCTACCATTCCCCTATTCATTTGGTGGCGGGCATTTTTAGACATCAGCCCTAAATTGAAGCCTTCCTAAAGAAAGAGTAAACTTAGGAAAGAGTTACTGGAAAAAAGGTCTCCATCTTCCCCAAACCATGTCTAAACTATATCTAGGTCTTTGGTTGGCATCTCTGAGTTGTGAATGAAGAGCAGGGGCTGCCTGGCACATAATCAGAGCAGTGATAATCAGTGCGGTGCTGGTAAGGGGGGTAATAGGAGGACTTAGACAACAAAAGAGAGGATGGAGGTTGGGTGTGAGTCTGAGAAAGCAAAAGGAGACAAGAGGAGGAACTGGTTAAGCAGTTAAAAGGGCTGAGATGCAGTAAGCGCTGCACACACTTGCTTCCTGCCTGCCCGCTGAAACGCTCTATCAGTGGGGCTATGTCAATTTTTCAAACAATGGCGATTTTGTTCACATTTTGTGGTGGATTCTGATGGATCCAGAGCTCAGAAGAACAGGATATTTTGACACAGTTCACACATCAAAGATAAGCATTAATGCCTCATTACTTCTCCAAAATGAAGCATGACAGCAGCAAAGGCCTGATATGAATAAGCAGCAATGCTGTCAGCAGGAGGTGTTTTTGAGAGTGAGAGGGGTCTTGGGTTTGCATGAATGAATGAATGCGAGAATGAATGGAAGGACGTATATGAGCAACGTCTGTGTAGTTTCAGGCCTTAGCAAGGACAGGCAGACTGGGATGCTTGACTGCATAGCCACTATTTACTGTTACATACATTTGCACAGCTTTATGTTTGCAATAACTGTACTTCCCTTTAACCTGGTTTCTCCCCATATCTCATATGAACTTATGGAGAGGTGTATTGTGATCGTTACTACTATGTGGCTAAAATGGGTGAGGACATCTCTTGACCCCTTTGGGTAAGGGTTGCTGCTATCAGATCTGTGGAAGCTAGAAACAATATCCCAATTGGCAGAAGTATTCTTTATTGATTGCGTAGCAGGAAAAAATGTGTTAAGCTTTTAATCAGCAAGTGCTGGCTATCGGAGGGGTTAGCCTTTTTGAAATTCTTCCAAGTAGCAGTAGAGGATGATAAAGAAAGATAGTGGGTTAATTACTGAAAAGGTCCCCCTAAGCAGACAATCACACATGTTCTTTCCTTTAGAACTAGTTATAATTTAAGACATCACTGCACACTACTGTATATTATGTGAGGAGATGCCCATACAGCGCACACAAAGGCCACTTTGGTGATGTGAACAATTGTTTGGCACGTTCTTGCACCAAAGACCCCTGCCCTACTGAAGTCTGAGATGTGATGCACAACACAATTTGGGGGTTCAAAGTGTTCTCTGACCAAAGAAGAACGTATTCAGATGTAGTCTAACGCAGTACAATTCTGCCCAAGTCACCTGCCTCTACCCACTTGGCATTTAGCCTGTCCTTGAATAGACCTAGTATGAGCTTCAACAGGGTAGGGTTGCTCAACAACAAGCCGAGAAGCACATACGGTGTGTATGGCTTCTTTTCTTTCTTCTAAAATTGGACAGATCTGGTTCTGTTACTTTGATTTGAAATGGAAATGTAGCATAAGCAAAAAACATGTTGGGTTTTTTTTTAAAGTCTGGTGAAAATAAGTTAAAGCTTGTTTTCTCACAAGGAGAGACCAGAAGATTTTCCCACAGTATGTTCTTAAAGTCAGGCTAATGCTGCAAGTGTCCAAACACACAGTGAGCCTGCAGCTCCACGCGCTCACTTCTGAAAGTCGGGATCAGAAATGTGGTGCTGGAAATGCACCGTGTCTGTTAGTGTCAGACAGCAGCTTGCAATCAGAGTGGAGCAGGGTGCGCAGATCCCTGCTGTCCCAGCAGGCACACATGTGGGGACTGTTAATTGCCCAAGGCCAGACATGGCTCTGACAGTGATAGAGGCACTACCCTGCATCAGAATACACTCAGCTTGGACTACAGAGAGCACCCAAAATAGGCAGACCTCATGGTCAGGACCACTGGGGCCATGGGCTCTAACAAAGACGTCCAGAAAGCCCCTCTGCACCCTGGCAAACCTGCACTGCACTGGATGCCCGCTCTCCTGATGACTTTAACCTCCATAGTCGCCAGGTCTCTGCAAGTGTTCAGCCACCCCTTTAGGATCTCTGAGAACACAGAAGCAACGTCTATTCTAGTAAATTAAATATGCCTGGCACTGGTGTCTTGCCCCAAGGCCAGCTGGCCTGGAACAACCCACTGCGATGCTATTGAACTCTCTCACCCTACCAAACAGGGTGGTCCCATCTAACTGCCTGTTGGGAATGCCTATCCTAACTCCCAAACTGGCCCTGGGAACTGCTTGGGAGAGTGCCCAGGCCAAAACTGGGTCAGACACTATTCTGACAATTGAACAGCACAGGCGATAGAGTCCTAGTGCCTGGTAGTATTCTTTGACCCTGGTTATGCATCTGATGTAGTCAGACTCAGATCCGGTTTGTTACAGGTGCAATATAATACAGAGTTCTTTATACACACATGATACACAGGTGTAAGCAGAAAACAGACAGTCTAAACATCTGTTTATATGAAGTCTGATTGTAAACAAAAGAGATTAAAGCTCACAGACTAATCCACAGGGCAGCCAAACTGTTTTCCAGCATCACTGTGTAATGTACTGCTTTCCTTATGTCTAACTTATCCTGTCATAAAATTTACCCATGCCTACACGCAGAGATCCTCAGGTAGGTGAATCCAGAGCTGACCCTGTGATTCACCACCTGCGACACACCAGTTACATATAAAATCAGAGTTCATCTTGCCTTGACCTGCAAGTGGGATTTTTGGTGATCAATACAGCAGCCCCACACTGACCTACGCCATCCAAGGGCTGCAGGTACCTCACAAGTAGGTACGAGGAGCCACAAGCTGGAACCTCCAGCCTTCTCCCCCGCAAACACCCTCTTGTGCCATCCCCACACAGGGATCACAGTCTGGAGCATAGGGAAGGTGTGCGGAGGCTGCTTGACTCCCCAGTTGTCAGGGCCTCGTAGGTACCGTCACGTCATTGCCCAAATTGGCTTCAGTGAGAACCCCCTTAGCCCTGGGGCCCAGAAACCCCATTTCAGCTCAGGTCAGGCCCCCAGTCCTGCCCTAAGCTGTATCACAGCTGTGCCTGAGCCGAGGCGGTCCCCTGCTGAGCATGGCTTGTTGACTGGTTTTCCAGGATGGGCCATGCTTTGCCTTCCCTGAGGGTCGCTGGGCTGTCGCTGGACCCCGCTGCCCGCCCCAGCTCTGCCCGCTGCGTTCAGAGCCCGCGGGACTGTGCTTGTGGGTGAGGGCACTGCGCGTGCTGGGGTGCCCCATCGCCCCAGCCTGGACCTTCTCAGGGAGCAATCCTGATCCCGCTGCCTCCTGACATCCACATTGTGACTCCATTTTTCCACAGTGGATCCACAGCTGTTTCACTCCGGCCTATTCAGAAAACATTTAGATCAGCAAAAGAATTCTTCAAGCTTAGCAAATACTTGTTTTCAGATACTTATCTAAAGTCCGTATGCACTGAAGAGCTTCTCCTGAGACAAGTTTCTCCTTCTGCCTGGTCAATATGCATCCCCCGTGCGTAGCTAGAGCTTACGGAATGGCTGCATACAAGTAAAAAAACCCTTTAGTTCTGGAATGGCACTATTCATTAAATGAAGTCTTAACAATATTCCCATCACAGCACAATACAGCAAGAGCTGTTTGAGATTACATGACTACGTGTCCCTTTCATGGCGAGAAGCCTTCCTTTTTAATGTCTTTAGCAGCACTTGTTATTGAAAAGACACCTGTTTTTTCTCTAAACATTAGGGAACGAAAAAACATCCTGCTGTTCAGTAACTGAGACTCTTGTAGAGCAGTGCCCACAGACGTGCTTTGACGAGGGGGAGGGATCCACCTGCTCGGAGCAGATGACTGAGCCCCTTCCTGAGGTGCTAGAAATGCATGTATCACAACACAACCCCCAGCACTTGGACAGAAGAACGGCACTGATGTGGCAATACTCTGACAGACAGTAGTGGCGTCTGAGGTGGCATGGCGGATATATGTGCAGATCAGTGATGTGAAAGGGGCGGTGGGGCCCGCGGGGAGAGGTTGCCATGCTGCAGACAAGGTCTTTGGACAGGCCGGACGCCCCTGTGGTCAGATGTTCCTCTGCTGCATCACAGGCACCATCACCTCAAGCTCCTGTGTTTAGACCTTGCAGAAGTTAATTGATTACTGGATCCCAGTTCAGGGAAAAGGCAGTAAGTGAATAAAAGAGTTTGTTGTGGGGTTTTTTAAATTAAAATATTTATTTATGCATTTATATAATTTTTAAAAAATGTTTTGTATGGAGGTCATGCATTAAATACTCCGAAGATGAAAAAGTTGTCCATAGATCAAATGTCTCGTGGCTAAAAACATCTTTCTGATGACAAACCTAAGTTGACAATTCTGTTAATAGGATTAGGTTCATTAAGGGACTGCTTTCTCTTATAAATCTGGCCCAGATAGCATGGAGCTTTAGATTTTGCACTGAAAAGGGGGCCCTGCTTAGTCCTGA